AGTCAGTGTCAATCACCAACTCCTAAAAGTTTAAGCTATTAGACCAAGTCTCATTAAGGACAATGACTTTATTACATCTTTTTAAAATTGAAAAATGATAAGAAAAAGGAGATACCGAACGGTTGTGTATTTGTCGAATACTAGCACCAGGCTTACAAAGTTCCACACAATGCTTGTTTGTTTCTAGTATAAGCTCATAAAGCTCTTCCTGAAATATAGAGAAACCATGAAATTCATATGAAAAGTAATAAGACTAAAAGGGCAACGCAACAAGTGGAATGACCAGTTTTATTTTATACTAGAATCCATCGGCATGAATATGGGGCAAAAACGAAGTTTCAAACATTTATATGCCATGCGTAGTAGAAGGAAAGAAATATTATGCCGACATGACATAATAGCACGCCCTATGTTGGCCATGTGCAAGCTTTAGGCCCATTAGATGCCCTAAAGACAGGGGCCATGAGAAGGCAGATAATTTATCACAAATTGAACGTCCATGCATAAACAATTTATTTAGAGTAAATTTCACTCATTCGAACAATTTGTAAGTCCCAAAATACTCATTTGGGCTATAATGACACTTGTTAGCATGTCACCATCTGCCTGTTGTCGGGGACTCTGCATAAATTTACAAGCCTTCAGGTTATAACAACAAGATTTGTCAAACAAAAAAAAACAAGAAACAACTAGGATGTTTAAGAAATCATATTACTAGAATCAAAAGTGGAATTAAACTAAAAATGGGTCAAACATCACAGAAACCTAATCCAGAAGAAGTGCATTACATATGAGAGTGGATGAATATCCATAAATGAAAATCCATGCAATTAACCTCATCATGGAAGAGGTCTGCAATGGAAAACTATGACTACGCAGTCTGCTTGTCTTGGATCGCTATTAAATGATCCGGAAATTGGATATCAAGGAAACAGAAATTAAAAACAGATGATTTTTAATGGTTTCTGTACGCATCGCTAAAAACTTTGAATATATTGAAAAACAAGGTATCAACTTTGAAATAAAAGTGAAAACAAATATTTTCTTAAAGTAAATGGAATCAAACCATGCTAACCTGTGCAGAAGAGAAGGTACCACAAGGTGGCCAGGTCCGTGTGAGATCACTGTTATAGCCATGTAACTCACATCCAACATCCATCAAAACAAGATCCCCATCTTTAATCTGACAAACATGGCAAAGATAAAATACATAAAATTATAGTACATACTATGATATGGCACTAAGTAAATGAAATTTACCTTTTGATCGTTCCTAGAGTAATGTATAACACTTCCATTAGGCCCGCCACCGACCACAGGATTGAAACTGATAGAGAGAAAAAAGAGCAAAAATATTCTCATTAAATGTGAATACAAGTGATGCTTAAGCTTCCATTTAGTTTTGGGCAAACCACCATTTTGGTCCCTAAAAGTGTAACACTGTCAATGCAGTCCCTGACTCAAACGTAAAACACAAACTAATCTCACACTCTGCAGTCCATTAGTCATTTTTGTCCGTGACGTTAAATTGAATCTTAGTCATTTAAAATTGTTGATGTGCAAGTGTGAAGGACAACTGGCTTGCCAGTGTGTCTGCAGGGATCAAAACGAAGAAAATACTTCCTTCTTCAACTTTGTCAACATCATTTCATATTATACCTGAAAAGCTACCTCGTGAAATTGGAAATGTTATTCTCTTTTTGATATAACAGAGATAAATTTGATGATGAGGTATTTAAAAAAAAAGTAGAATATGAAGATGTTGTTCTCGTGAAATTGGAAATGTTGTTCTATTTTTTATTCAAACATGTTGGGAAATGATGTTGAGAGAGTTGAACAAGAAGAAGGATTTTCTTTCATTTTGATCCTTGCATACACATCAGCAAGCCAGTTGTCCTTCACAATTGCCGCTTCAGCAATTTACATTGACTTTTTTTTTACACAAACATTGACTTAACATCCCAATTTAATGTTAGGGGTGAAAATGACTAACAGAATGCAGAATGGAAGATTAATTATGTTTCTCGTTTGAGTCAAAGAAAGGGACAGCGTGTAACACTTTAAGGGACTTAAATGGTGGTTTGCCCTTTAATTTTTTACATTAATGGGCTTCTCTGTTACTCTTGTAGAAGCTTTTGAAGTTATCAATAAAAATACGCAACGTAGTCAGACGGGAACAAATTGCATAAGACGGATAGTCACTCGATATCAGGAAATGCTCACCCCATTCGCTGGGCACCTCTCACTTTGCATTCATATTCAACTTTTGCAGCTAGCATACCTTCATCGGGGTATGTCTTTGAATGCAGCATTGTCAACAAAAGTGCCTATTCAAAACCAGAAAATGTTTAAAACGTCAAGATCTTACCATTTGTATTTATGATCTCCTAAACAAAGTTGCATATAACAGCCTCACTAGGAGTTCTAGATTTGTAGTCATCGTTAGCCATCCAATAGAGTTGATAGTACCTGGCAAGCAATTGATGCAGATTCCTTCATCAGCTTGAGCTCTGAAGGAGATTTTATCCATCGTAACTGATGAGTATAAGTAGACAGATCGTTTACACTGTTACAGTATGCTAGTTTCTTGAAAGCCTCCAGTTCTGTATATGCAGTTGTAGCAGTCTGAACATTGTGATACAATTTCGAGGATTTCCTTATCATATCTGGAAGGATCTGAATCAGTAATTAAAATTGTTAAAATTAAAATATTTTAAAGAACAGAAGTAGATGTTTGACCGAGTAGACTTAAATGCACATTTTAGACCGAAAAAATAAGAACCTTGGCTGCAAGCCACACCAGCAGGCTTATAGGCGAAAAATAGTTCAAGTGTAGACAACAAAATAGATGACTAGATAACTACTACATAAGTAAAAGTTGTTAATGCTTGATAATTATAATTCACCTCGCGTAATTTTCTCATTGGATACGCCTTGTCAGCCTTGAATGTATCCAATGCTGCATCAACTCCTGCTATTTGCCCTTGCCAAATCACATCCTAGACAAATGTAGGATTTCAAAGTCTTGTTAACTTCAAGATTAGTTACTTTATATCTTATAACTCTATAAGAGATGGCAAGAAAAATCACCCAATGAACAAACTCATGGACGGTTGACTCAGTGACTTCTAACATGAACAACAATTGAAATACTATATAGATTTCAAAAGAAAAGATATTTATAGATAATCAGATAAATGTTAAAATAGTTATTGGCTTGAATAACTATCGTATGAGAATGAGACTCACATAAGGCTTGGGTTCTGGCATGAACATGCATAAACCAATGTCATGCCCTAAAACAGCCACACCACCGGGTTGTTGGCAGCCTGTAATATAGGAGTAATCAGCATCTTGCCGAAACGTATAAGGCACGACATCTGTCATCATCTTAACTGGAGCAGCAGCAATGATAGCCAAACAATTCTCCGGCAGAAGTTCCAGCATTTTATTTCTTCTTAGGATGTATTCCTCACTAGATATCCCTGGTGTGATCTCGCCGTCCTTTAGAAGCTACAACTCAGCATAAAGAGTATAATTTAATTTTATCAACTAATACTAACTTCAAAAACGTAATTATTAGTTTCAATTAAAGAGTTTAATTTTGAAATAGTACATGTGGATGAGATGCAGGGGTTGGTTGTCCAACATCAACAGGAACTCTAACTCTGTCATTGCAATAAGAACGAAAACCTAGAACCTGCGATTGAAAGTTGTGAATGCAAACTAGTGAATCAAAGTAACTCGATTATACACACTCTTGAATTAAGCAAATAAATAAGACAAAAATGATTATTCGGTTGAAGAAATGAAAATTGAAATGAGTGTTTGGATTGGTGTGAAGAAAGCATAAATACCTGTCTGTGTGAAAATGTCTTGGTTAGTTTTCTTACAACGCCCTGCATCTATGTGTTGTCTCTTTTGTGTTCAACTCGCTAAACTAAATTATAGAGGTTTAAACTGTGATAAAGGGTTTAAGAGTTAGAGACTTTGAACTCGCTTGATTTGTCTTGTGCTTCCTGCTTCCTTGTTTCGGTGATTTTGGTTTTCTTGTATTTTTTATTTTATCAAAATAGAGGTTTGTGATTGTTAGGAATAGAATATTTTTTTTTTGTTTAAAATTTTGATAAAATTAAAGGAAATTTGTATTTTTTTTTGTTTAAAATTTTGATAAAATTAAAGGAAATTTGTAACACGTAATATTGAGGTTTGAAAAGGAGAAAATTTGGGATTTCTTTATTTCAATTGTAATTCGATCATTTGATTGGTGAATTACATGTAAAACTATAGAAACTTTCAATAAATTACAGGTTCACAGTTTTAAATATATGAAAAGTGACTTTAGAAATGGAGAAAATCATAATTTAAAAATCAATATTTAAAATTTAACAGGGACAATCCAATTGGTCTTGAAAAAAATGTTGAAATAAACAAATTAGTTAAAAATTGAGAAAGAAATCAATAATCTTAACTTCGAATTTGAAAGTAGTCAATTTTATATACAAATTTTGCGCTTTTTATCTTTCTAGCTTATCTTCATAAGACATTGATTCATGATAGGCAAATCCCTACTGTTGAAACCTCCAAGAGATTGTCTCAAGTACTTAGTTTGCTTAGTGAGCAAGGAGACAAGAAATTTATGACGTTAAATTTGACAGCATTCTTGACGCTCTATAGAGTCACAATTAGGCATTAAAAATTCCAAGCAAAAAAACAATGTAAGAATAAACTTGATATGCTACCAACCCTGCCCCTTGATGAAATTATAAATGGATGTGTGTGGAATTCCATACAGTACTACAACCTAGTAATTTGTTTGATGGCAATGCTCAGAGCACACTTGTGAAATATATTCAAGATTCCCGTCCTTAACTAGATTAAATTAGGCAATTGCATTAACATAGGACATTGTACAGATTTTTTAGCATGGTACATGTGAGACAAAACTTCTCAACTAAAATTGTAAATTTTGGTTAGTATCACAAACTCCAGATTTTTTGCTAGACGTCATGCAGAAATCGCCCAAGGAAAGCCTTGATCTCGTCAATATAAGGAGACCGAGTTGGAATTATGTGACCACGGTCATGTTCAACGATCACAGAACAACTACTGTCATATAGAGAAGCAAGTTCCTTGCTTGCTTGGTTGGCTATCTGTCTGTCTTGACCATGTTCATTACCAAAAATATGAAGAGAAGGGCAATTGATAGGGTTACACTCCATCTCCTTCAAATTGAGAGCAAAGCCTGAACACAAGACTACAAATTTAAAGTCCATTTTACCTTTTAGCTTTTCTTGTTGTGCAGAGATTACGGCAGTCATTGCTGCTCCCTGTGAAAATCCCAAGATTCCATCGAATGGCCCTTCTTTTGAGAATACATTCTCTAAGTGTGATATTGAAATATCATATCCATCAGTTTGCTGCTGGTATTGAAGTGGATCAAATGGACCATCTGCTACTTTCCAATCAACGCCACTACTTCCATCAAAATTGGGTGACACAAACCATGCAAACTTCTTCTTACAATTCTCGAAAGGTGGGGGAGGACTTGCTGCTAAAGAGGACGATGCACCATTCACATGGGGCACTGGAACAGGAGATTGATAAATGAAGGGCACTTCATGAGGTGCGTCTATAAAAACAAATTCAGCAATTTTCTTGAGTTTTTTTGTTAAGGATGCTGTTCTTCCCTTAAAACTGGAAGCATTCTGCCGAAACCCGTGCAAGCATAAGATTCTTAGTTTTCTTGAGGTTCTTACGTCTGAAACATTATTCATGGGGATGTTAGGAATTGAACACTTCTGGTAAACTATAAATGGGTTTTCATTTTCCGACATTTCAGATTTTAGGAGACTTGAAAATTTTCAGAACACTGCGACAATTGTAAAATTAACAATCAGTAACTTGAAATTTGATTTAAAAAAATAAAGGCACGTGAAGGCCAGATTTGATAAAGAAATATAGATCACATACCTTACCATCTCCCCTAAGCTCCTGAGGCAAGAGCATGGTATCTGAAGAAAAATCCAGGAACTCAACACCTTGTAATGATTTATTTGAATCATCGTTTTCATTTAACTGCTTTGGCCCAACAGCCTTGCCCTGTTTTTGGCATAGCTCACAAACATACAGTGCAGATTCGTTCTGGTAGACCACAATAACATCGGAAGCAAGAAATCAAAGATAAAGCCCCAGAAACAGAATAGCAAAAGATCTAAGTGAAAATATTAAAGAGACGAAGAGATGTATTTTATAGATTAGTACACTTCAGGATCAGGAATGTAATTTAAGAAGATTTTAGGGGCCAAGGCTTCGGCAAAAATGTTGTTCAAATGCAAGCATGATTGATGCTCAACTGTGATGGGTCATAATGTCTAATGAGTAATGACCACAATAAGAGCTTGCCGCTTATGCAATCATCTTGTTGAGAAAAATACAACTTTTTCCTAATAACAAACTAAATGCATGAGTATTGTATTCTAGAACCACATGCAAACCAGCTCAAAAGCAACAGTCGAGTTAGGCCAATTAGCAACATGCCAATAAGCAACGAACAAAATTAGAGCCAAGCTCTTATCTAGAATTTGATGAGAACAATTCTTAGCTTAGTTTTTTTAAAACAGCGGTATGCTTGAGACCGCTAGATGTCTAAATTCAGTATATAACTTCATAATATCCAACAGTTAGCTTCTATTTTATTTCACATTTTCCCCCGACCTTCAGAATGGTGTGAATTTTAGAGGTATGCAAACAAAAGTTATGACACAAAAAATATATCAGATCCTACCTGGCAACTCTCACAAACCAAAACAAGCATTCGGCAATGAGTACATCGACAACGTGAAGAGTAATCGTCAAAGGAACATTGACAAATAAGACAGGTACCAATTGTACTACTAGCCTCTGAACCTCCAACTGATATCCTACGGCCACAAAAGAAATAAATAAGAAATCACTCAGTCCAATTGTTGCAAAACTACCCTCATAATCTTTGACCAGATCAAGATTATTCACTACAGGAAAATATTAGTAGTGTAGGTAGATAAAGAATCCAACATTGTATTGATAGTTGAGGACCTAATACAATATTTATTTCAACAGTTCAGTAATTTTGAATGATGTTTACTATATAGGACCACATTGAATAATCAGTTCACAAATTCAATTTAGTCAAATAAGGTTAACCATAACATCAGACAAAAAATAATATCTATGGTTAATGGGTCATGGGGTCTCAATGACCCATATAGCTTAAATGATTTCATCTGCAGACCTTTTGCCTTAATGTCAATATTTCAATCCAAGACAGAATTACAAATTATACACACAGATTCGTGCCTAAAAGAAATTGAAAATTAAAGACAAACATACCGATGATCAAAAACAAAATTCTTTCCTTTGAAAAAACCACCATCTGGGAATTGCTCCAAATACCGTTGTATACCACCAAATAACTGCAATTAATTATATTAAGAAACAAGAAATACTGCCTACTAGCATGAATACATTCTTGACCATGTTTAATAACAAACTTTTTATATAAAAAAAGGATACATAGCCACGAGATTTCAAAACTCCGTCCTATTGAATTGCAAACTGATATCAAGGTCACTATGATTTACGACTGACAGTATGTTTGTTTTGCCATTCCTTGGTTCCCAAATGTAGTTTCATTAATAAGTATGAACACAATAAGAATACAAGTATATGATATTAATCAAAACTTCTTCTTGCTTTCAAACAAGGAGTTTACCTGAAACACATTCTCAAACCCAGCACCTTTTGACCTAATATATGCTGATGCCATTTCACACCTTATTCCACCAGTACAATACCTGTAACCAACAAGTGAAAGTACACACCATAGGTTCTATTATATGTAACTCAAGTATAAAAATGATAGTGCCGCGGAAAACACAACCCCCCTACACACACAATCACTAATTACACGTTTACTAGATCATATATCATAATAAGAAGACTGATTTTGAACCAAAAGTTACCACCAGAGAGTTTTAAAGGAAGAACTCACATGAGGATATTTTTGCCTTTCAACTGCTCGCTTCTATCATCTATCCACGAGGAGAAATCACTGTATTGTCTAACCCGTGGATCCAAAGTTTCAACATTCGGTGCATGAAATTTCCCAATCCTTGTTTCATAAAGATTCCTTGCATCAAGTAAAACAAGGCTGTTTTCTGGACTCTCATCTATACAAAAAAAAAAAAGAACAATCATACAAAATAACATTCAGATTTCAAAATCAACTCCCCAAACAATATATACCCAAATTCTCTAGTTTTTAGATGTATGTAGCACGACACTTCATATTGAAGATGTATATAGTGCCCGGCGAAACATGTGGGCTACATTTAATCAATTATATTTTCTTAAAATCATCATCAATGTCTACATGTAAGTGTCAGTCCGTGTTTGTGGCCTCTTTAGCACCGACACTTGTCAAAAAAGTGTGTATGTGTTGTATCGGTGTCTGAAACCGACACAGACACTTGAGATCACATTTATTTTAATTGTTTTTTTAAAATACTATCAGTGCCGAAGTGACAGTGTGAGTGTCGTGTTTTCGGTGTCTGTGCTTCATAGTTTGTGAGTTGTGACAAGTGAAATTAAAACAATATACGAAATGAAAAATACATGAATCAAGTGTATGTGAAGTTATATCAACTTACTAGCATTGTGAAGTGTAGAATGGAACTCAAGTGCTGATAAATGTGTTCCAGCATTTGAGATTTCTGGTGACTTTAACAGTGGATGAGAACTGAGAGTAACAAGTTCCTGCGAGTTCCACATGAGCAGTAATAATTATTTAACAATACACAATGAAGTAATTAAACAATAACAATGGTGATACTATTACTAACCTTGACAACACGAATCGAGAGTGAAGTGAAACCACACTCCTTAGCAACGTCGTCGTTCAATGGGTGATGACAAGTTGCAAGCTTGAAATCAGTGCCGAGAAATAGAGTATTATTGGCTTTGAGTGCTTCGATGTGTTGTTCCAAAGAGGATAAACTGCCGCCAACCTGCATTGAAATGAAAGGGAATGAGTGAGTTTGAACGAAAGGGGATGATTAAGAGAGGGGAAGGGAGTGGGGATTTGATTTTACGGTGACATTGACGCCGTGGGGAGAGAGGCGGACGCGGCCGAGGAGGGAGAGGGAGGAGCAGTTGGAGCGGTAGAATGTGAGGAGGTCGTTGAGGTTTGGAATATCGACGTATTTGTAGTAGAGGAGGACGCCGTATTGGTCTGTGTTTTTGTTGTCGGACATGGTTTCAGGGAGGTTTTGGAGTTGAGGGTTTATGGATTGCGATGTTTTACGGCTGTTGGAGGAGAGACGATGTCGTTGGTAGACGGAATGTTAGATAAATTTGCATTTTATTTTGATTTTTGTTATTTACACGCTCCCTTAGAAATATTTATGGAAATAACCATATTTTTTAATTTTATTTCCACAATAGCCATGACTTCATTTAAAAATAAGAGATGTCATCCATGGGAGGATTTTACTTTTCACTTCCACAATTTTATCCGACACCCTCAAAGTAATTAAAATAGTTCAATTTAACTATTTCATCATTTTTTTAAATTTTCAATAAAGTATTGGATTTAGGGATGGCAAACGGGCATGCTCGTCTTGTTTAAGTCTGCTTTATAAAAGTCCGCAAAAAAATGGGTTGGGGCGGGGCAGGCATAGTTGAGGATGAGGGCCTAAAACCTAGGTATGTTCCACAAAAAAAGTAAATGTGTGACGGGGAAAGCCCGCAGGCACTGCACCTTTTAGGCCTAAAAATGTAAAATTTTATGTAAATAGTCATGCCCGCGAATAAAACAGGGCGGAACGGTCACATTAGAGAGTGAGGGCCTAAACTCTTGGCCCGCCCCACACTAAAGTGTAGGTAAAACGGGCATGCCCAACGGGCCGGACCCGTTTTGCCATCCCTAACTGGATTTTTCTATATTCCAAGACAATACTTGAGATTTCGAGGCGAAATCAGAAATTTACACTGAAAAGTAAGAATTTCTGGTAAATTAGAGAAATTATCACAAAAATTCTAAAATTTTTGGCAGAATTTCACCAAAATTTCAGAATTTTCGATATTTCTTATCAGAAATTTTGATATTTGGGTGGTTCATAATTTTTTTTTTTTAAATCTCAAATTTTTTGTAATTTTCGGTAGTTTGAAATTTTTTTGAAAAATACCAGAAATTTAGAAATTTCCAGTAGTTCATATTTCAACTAATTTTTTTGTTTTTTTCTTTTCATTTTTCCAGTGAGGACTAGGGGTAAAGACGGTACTATTAGGGGTCGGTCGACAGATAGAGCAGAAGCTCAGGTCCGGGCTTATGAGCTACAGGCTTCCCAGTTACACTGATACAGATGCCATGACTCATGCGTCCACGGAGCCATCAGTTCACACTAATGGTGCATTTTCAGGAGGACCTACAGACGAGTCTGTGCTCATAGAGTATGTTGAATATGTCACGTACATATTATGGCAGGGCGAGGTATATATGTCATATTTTTTATTGCAAAATATTTATCATGGCTCGATCAAGTGTTGGAAGTTTATTGATAATTTTTTTAACTTTGTTTCTTACAGGAGCGTCTGATGCTGAAGGTCGCGTCTCATGGTTCGAAGTTGAAAAACTTTTCCGACAATTCAATGCCTGAGCAGGTCAGACGTATTGTTTCAGATTTTGTTGAGCGGTGGCATTCAGAGACATTATTCTTTCATCTCCCATTTGGGGAGATGATTATCACATTTGTATGATGTATCCTCGTTTCATCTTCCCATCACTGGTACTTTCTTCACAGGTCCTCATATTAACCAGACGATGACGATGATACAGGTTGTAGAGGAGTTAGAGGTCAGTGAGATTATGGTGCTTGAGGAGTTTGGCTTTAACATGTGACTTCACCTACGAATGTCTTGGCTAAGGGAAAGGTATCTGGAGCACGTCTTAGCAGAGAGGTATGAGGTCGCCGCTAGGGCGTACATACTACATCTGATGGCATGTGCTCTCTTTGCGGATAAATCTGGCATTTACATTGATGTTTGATACTTGTCATTGTTTAGTAGCATGGACACCCCATGTTGGGCTTAGGGAGTGGCGACGTTGATCATGTTATACACGACACTTGGAGTTGCTTCCCACCTTGAGCCAATTACATGCATTTTTTGTTATTTATTTGAGTATATTAGTTATTTGTTGGATGTCGTATTAATTAGTTTTTATTTATGTAGTGCTGGATATACGAACATTTCCCCCACATATGTGACAAGAGACTAGTATTGTTCCAGCAGATGCTCCACGAGCGAGGAGATGAAAGAGAAAGCAATTGTTTCATGGTGGTGTTGTAGAGTACAGGAGGAGGCTTGACGCTCTGATAGTTGATGATGTTGATTGGACACCATATACAACTGATCGGGCCTATCGTCCATTTGAGGATGCTTCTTTGTATTCAGGTCATATGAGGTAGAAGAACCACGTGGCTAGACACTTGTCTGAGAGGTATCTACAACAATATGGTTATATTTAAGGTATCCCTCGTCCAGTTTCAGAGACTCTGCCTAGTGGCATTGACAGATGGTTTCAGAGTCACATCATCAACTATGTCTATGACATCAGGGCTAGTGCAATTATAGTTCAGTACGCTTCATAGTGCGAGGATGGTTACTTGGAATGGTATCACAATATATCACACCCTCGTCTCATACCACCGACTATAGGGTCTTCTGATGCTCGGGGCCTTCTGGTGTTAGGGGTTCTAATGTTGATGTATAGGTTGACGATGTGTCGCCACCACCACTTCCACCTATCGTTACTGACCATGATAGCCGCCTCTAGTTTATTGCAGTTATTATGGATAACCTCACGGGTTTGGTAAACCCGGATGGTGAGGTTTTTACAAGTTTATCTAGGATAGCAGATATAGCTTGTGGGGATCGTATGTAGATCTATTATATTTTGGTTGTATTATATGTATATTTTGTGACACAGACTTCTTATCACGATATTTATTTATTGCATAATATTTTGGTGATTACATGGTTCAATTCGAAGATGAACATAACATAAAATAGTACAACAAACATAAATTAAAAAATAACTAAACATGAAAATCTAGGTACTACCAGATGATTCTGGACGTTTTAGCATCTTGATTATGTCGTCGATGAATCTTGTTATCTATGCATCCAACTTGATCGGACCCTTGGTTATCCTACATCGAAATGATTTCCACATGGCCTTCACATATTTGACGGCCTTCAACTCAATCAGGTTGTATTTCACCCTTCCATTTATATCAATCTAATCTTTGTGAAACTCGATCACTCTCACCCTTCTGCTATCGGTATCAGGCAGCAATTCATTCAACTTATCTTTCAAGATGGCGAGGGATGTGGTGCCATCTGGTAGCTTGAACTCAACAAGAGGGTTGTTTGCATTGAAATACACTTCTTCCTTAATAAGAAATTGGGAAAGAGGCATTTTTTAGATGTCTTCCTCTATAACGGACGCCCCTATTTATACAAATTTATATTCATTATCGACCACACAAAAGTGTCGGTGCAATCAGAATCCTCCAAAGATATCGGCAAAATCCTGATCGTTAAAAAATTATAAATTAATACACTACTAAAAAATTTAGTATAGAAAAGAATTTTCGGTATAACATGGTAAATTTGAAATTTCTGGGACAAAATTATCTTTATCGAAAATTTTGTACGTACCAAAAATTTCATATGAAATACCAGAAATTTTGTACGTATCAGAAATTTCATATGAACTACTAGAAATTAGGGATGGCAACAGGTCGGGTTGAGTGCAGGTTTCACACTACCCAAACCCGCACCCGAAATCACCATCCAAACTCAAAGGCTATACGGGTGGTAAAATAACACTCACACCCACACCCGTTAGGTTCGGGTTTTTCCACCCAAACCCGAACCCGCAGCAAAAACACAAAAAATACAACAACAACAACAACAACATTGAAATTTGAAACATAATAATTCCATCAAGGTCTCTCAAAGAGATTTAGGAATTAAATTACAACTTTCCATCAAGTTTGGTAACATTACAATTAAAATTAAGGTCTTAAATTTTCACTTATATATATTTAGGGGTACTTATGTAATTTAATGTCTAAGCAGGTGTGATTTCGGGTTTCGGGTGCGGGTTTGAGTGAACCCAAACCTGAACCTAAAACATCAGGTGGCACCCAAACCCAGTTAACTCGGGTTTTCACTCATTGACTCGGGTTCGGGTGCGGTGGGCCCCGCGAGTTTGGGTCTGCCTGCCATCCCTACCGGAAATTTTGCATGTACCAAAAATTTGCACTGCTTTACCGGAAATTTCATACAGAAATTTTGTTCCGCTATCACCAAAGGCATTTCAGGATTAATGAAAAGTGGAGGGTGTCAGGTTTAGTTTGTGGGGTTGCAAGTAAAATTTTCCGCCAATTGAATTAGTGTCTTTTGTAGGCTTAGCCAATACAATTGGTGACCATATTTAAAGCGGGAGAGCTGACGTTAATTCATTTGTCACGTTAGTGTTTTTTTAAATTAAAACAATACGTTATTAAAAAAAGGAAATATAAATAATTAATATTTTATTTAAATTATTTTTACATACAATAATATTTTTAACACTAATGAGGACGACCGAGTTGGTCATACCGGCCACCGGTTTCACACCCCTTAGCTACCCTAACTCGTCGCGCTCGCGGTTGATTTGCCTCTGGTGTTTGAGGATTTAAGGTCCCAGGAACGTCATCATCACCATATTCCCTAATTAGATCTTGCATTTCTAAGTAGTTTTGAGTATTCATTTACGTACTTTCGTAACTGAGTTTGTGACCCATGCCGAAGTAGTTGGGTTGTGTTGATGGGGTTATTGGTGTGCGGTATGATTGATTGAATGATGACATTAGTGTGAATGATTCATTGTAGAAAAGAAGAAATGGTTATTGTGGTGTTTGGTAACCCCGTGTTTGATGCATGTCTATATGTTGTGATGTTTGGGCATTTTGGCTATGGTAGGAGAGAATGTTAGTGTTATGTGTTCCTTGCGTGTTTTGGCTATGGTAGGATAGTGTGTTCAAGGCATATGGATGTTGGGTGTTTTGATAATAAACATGTTATTGGTGATGGTATGAAGTATGCTCTTAGTATTGTGGTTAGATGTCTAGCAAGTATTGGTTGTGAGTTTGAGTATTTGTTGGTCGTTGTTGGGTTGGAGGTGGTGAGTAAGTGGTATGGT